AGTGTTGATATACATTAAGCCAATACCGTTAGATGTGAAGTGGAGTCTTTATCTGTGACTGCTGTTTGTGCCATTTCCTGTAATGCTTGCTCAAAGCCAAGATGTACCCAGTGACCTGCTGTTCTGTCTGCAGGAACTTCTTGAATATTCATATATAAGCAAATGTAAACTCTTAAACATTCCAATCCATATTTTATCCTCAGAACAGCTCGAGCACCATAAACTTCATAATTTTGTACCAAATCAAATCAAGTGTTCAGATGTTCCTATATCAGACTGCAGAAAGAACTATCATAGCAAAAATACAAAGTTGGAAGGAAAAATTTTAAATCTAGTGTTCTTTTCTGATGGCATGAAAGGTAGGGAACCTTCAGTGGGTGGTAGAAAGGCTGATGTTGTAAGGCAGACTGGGAAGGTTAGATTAGCCCAGGACTATAAGGACTAGTGAATCTGGACTTAATACTTTTTAAATACTTTATTTTTTATTTTATGTGTATGAGTGTATTGCCTCAGTACACCCATGTCCTACAGTGCCCTCAGAGGTCAGAAACTAGAGTTATGGGCGTTTGTTAGCCTCCATGTGGGTGCTGGAAATCAAACTCAGGTCCTCTGCAAGAGCAGCCAGTGTTCTTAACCACTGAGCCATCCCTCCAGTCCCTAGACTCGTTGAAAATGTGCAGCAGGGAGTGTTCTGAGTACTCTGTAGGTATCCTTTCATCTTCACAGCTCGCCTATAACGCATTAAGTTCTACCATTCCCATTTTACAAGTGAAGAAACTGAGACACCACAAGGTTAAATAACTTGCCCAAGGTCAAAAAAAACAGAGCTAGGAGTCCAACTGAGGCACTAAGGTGGTTTGAGTCCTCCCTAGCCCATGATCTTAACTGTTCAGCTCTGTTGCTGCCAAGGTAGTAAGCAAAGGTGGAATCTCAAACCCAGAAACAGCTGAAATATGATTTAATGTAAAAAGAGGTTTCCAGTAGCTATGTGGAAGTAGAAGAAGAAGAAGAAGAAGAGAGAGAGAGACAGAGACAGAGACAGAAACAGAGACTAGGGAAACTAGCCCTAAGCCTGGTGAGTAAGAAACGTAGAAATGGGGAAGAGCTGGCTCATAAAAGTCATCAAAGACAAGTTTAACACAGTGTTGACCCAGTGTGTCTATAGACACAGCTCCTAAGTGTGGCTTCCTGCATGACCCAGCTGTCCCATTTGCTACCTGTCTCACTCCTTTAGGCTTAGGATTGTGATGGCATCCCATCTTGCTAGCCCCTTGATGGTTCTCTATCCCTTTTAGTAGCTATAATCCTGTGTAAGTCTCGTTTAATTTACTCAGACCTGAGAGAATGTGTTCTCTAGCTTGTGTCTGGACCCTGATTCACAAGGCTTTTCCTTCATGAGTGAGCAGAGACTGCTAGTTGGCTTCCAGGATTCATTCTGCACTTGGTGCTTGATAACAGAATTCTAGGCAATGTGGTTTCTTGAAGGAAAAAAAAAAAAAGTAACCACACCACTTTTATGAAAACCTCTGATTTCCAATTTCCTTCACTAAACATTGTAATGTTGATTTGTTCTGGTAATATAAGCAGAGATGACACATGGAACTATCAGCTGGGCTCTTTAATACGCAGCCTTTCTGCTGTTAAATAAAATTAGTAAGCGACCATTGATTGGGACAGGCTCCTGCACTGGACCAATAGCCTGAACCTGTGTGGAGTCTGTCCATAGTAATGAAGGCTAGCTGGTGTCAGGAGGCTCTGGAACCAACTGACTGCTTGGTTGACTTAAGCTGTAGTCAATTCAATTGTTTTATGTCACTTCTGATTTTTCTTCAAGTGCTGTCTGATACCATTGCTCTCAGAACTGCTGTGATTCTGGGCGCTGCCCAACTAGAATTTTTTTTTTCCCTTAGCTGAACTCTTCTTGGTTTTATTGGTCCAAGGAATTCTGCCTTTTAATATTAACCCCATTTCTCCTTCATTCTGCTTATAATAGTCATGGATGGGGGGAACTCCAAGAGCTACCTTAGATCTAGGGTGGCTTTGAGAATAAAAGCCACACATAGAGAAGTGGAGAAACACAGCTACATGCCTGTCAGTGCTGTGGACCTACCTTATCAGCACTAGACTGGCCTCCTGAGTATCACTGTAAGAGAAATCTGCTGGCACAGGGATTTGAAAAGGAACCAGGACTCATGGGGAGAAACCCATCTTCTGAACTAGGGAATGAAAGAATGTTCTCATAGATACACAAAGGGAAAGGGAGAAAAGCTAGTGAGCGCTGTGTGTGTTCCTTGTGATGTGGGAGATATACATGCTCCATGGAGAATAAGGAAGGGAGAACAAGTTAGGTTCCAGAAGGGAACTTGAAGACTGAATAAAGAACCAGAGCAGCCAAGTGAAGAACACAGAAGGAATTGCACTACAGCTGAAGAAAAAGAAAAGCTGGTTCTTTTAGATAAGAACAATTCAGAAACTCTCTCCCTTCAGAAAAATTGTATCAATATAGATGATGTTTAAAAAGACAAAACAAAATCCTGTTCTGTCTTCTGGGAAAATTCTTTTTTCTTTTGGGAAAAATTTAATTGTACAATAGCATAATTCGGGATAATACAATGTGGTAATTTGGCAATTTACAAGTCATTTGATTCCTGTCGTGAGATAATTCAAATTACTTGTACCAAAGGGATTGTTTTTGTAGTAAAAGATAGATCTGCATAATTGTTAAGTCATCTATCTGCATGAAGATGTAAAAAGAGCCTGCCTGTAACTGTTGCTGGCATAATATAAAGTACATTTTGTTCACAGGAGATTCAAAGCCAGAATAAACTTTGTGGGTGTGAACACTATTATTATTTGTGTTTTCCACTGGACGGCAGTAAATCCAAGGCCTATCATTGGTGTGTGTTTCTTGACGGACAGCCTAAGCAGCCAAGGTTAATTGTGACCTTTATGCTATTTGTAGATATTCAGAATTTTTGTTCTTATTACCAGGGGATAAGGCATGCTTGATTTTCTTCATACTGAATAGGAATATTCATTCTTAAATGATAGCCATCCTTAGAGATTTCAGAGCAAAATCTTTCATAATATTTAGCTGTTTTCAAATGTCAGGTTCAGCTCAGTTTATTGCGCTGCCAGCCTCCACCATCACCAAAAGTCCCGTTTTTAGTGCTACTTAACAGACTGCCAGTAAACTGGTAGCATTTCCAGTTGGAAAATCTCCAACCTCCTCTCGGGAAAGGAGGGCAGGTGTTTTCCTCTGGTCTGGTGCAGGCCTCCTTTTTGGCATTTGGTTAATTGAAAGAGGCCATGAAAACTAAGAAAGGGGAAAAATATCCTCCTTATCAACAAGGATCCTGTGAAAAGATCTCACTCAACATTTTTGCTAAGTCTGAGCAGAAGACAGATTGCAGGAGAGGCATCCTAAAGAGTGAGTCCTAAGCTTCACATGTGCTGGGCAAGCTCTGAGGCCTACCTGCAGGGCTGGTTTCAGAGGGCAGGCGGTGAGCGGAGAGAGTGTTGCCTGGGGTTATAAAGCAAGAGCAGCTTTGCTGGCGCTGGCTGCTTTTGAGCTTGAACAAATTACTTAACTGTCCCATCCTTGGTTTTCTTACATACCAAATACACATAACCTGGTGTTCACTCCAATGCCCCCAGTGTTGTTTTGAAGTTTAATCACTGTGATAATGCCTGTGAGTGTGCCCTGGGCTCTGAAAAGCATAATGTAAACTATAAGGCAGTTTGGTGTTTTGTTTTGTTTTGTTTGTTTTGTTTTGTTTTGTTTTGGTTTGGTTTGGTTTGGTTTGAGACAGAGTCAGTGTAGCCCAGGCTGGGCTGGAATTTATGATCCTCCTGCCTCAGCCTCCCAAGTGCTGGGATTATAGTGCATGCCACCAGCCCAGTGATAGTTTTGTTCTTAAAAGGAATCCTCTAGAATATTCTACTAGGTGATATCTTGATATCCTAATTTGAATAACTATACATGAAAAGACTGAGGTTGAGCTGTGGGAATTGGATGATTGTGGATCCTTCTCAGCAGCTTGAAATATTCAGAACAGGGCAGGCAGCTATCCCTGTCCCCAGGTTTTCATCCATAGATTCAACCAACCTCAGACAGAAAATACTTGAGAGAAAAACTTCTCACTACACCGAACATATACAAACTTTATTCTTTAAACAACACAGTATACCAAATACTTATACTTTTTTTTTTTTTGAGACAGGGTCTCCCTGTAGCTCCAGCTGTCCTGGAACTCACTATGTAGACCAAGCTGGCCTTGAACTCACAGAGATCCGCCTGCCTCTTATACTTTTATATAAGTTATTGTAAGTAAGCTAGAGGTGATTTAAAGTGTGCAAGAGGCTGTGTGTATCTTATGTATACATACTAAAGCACCTTTTATTAGGGACTTGAGCACCTGCAGGTTTTGGTATCTCCTGGAGTATCCTATAATCAACCTCACCCAAATTACATGGGACCACTACAGAGGTAAAGGTTAGGTGAGGTCACATTATATGGCCTTGGAAAATCTTTGCGCCCCAGTTTCACATGATAAAATAAAGCTAATAATATCATTGACTTGGTTGCTGGGAGGACTTCATGGGGGCAAAACTGCAAAGTATATAGTTAGTCACTGTGCTGTGGGGTTAGGATTCCAGCTTCTTACAAGTGGTCTGAACACTCACTTTGCATTAATTTATGCAAAACTGAGGTCCCTTCTCTCAATGTATAGGTTCTGTTTTGTTCTACGCTGGGGAAGCATTTTTTAAAAATTCAAGTGTCTCCCTTACACTATGCATAGCTTTCAGAATTTTCTGCAGTTAGCTTCAACACCATCTCCCTTTCTTTGTCATAGTGGTTGATTTGAAGATTTGTATGAAAAGAGTTGCTACCTCCAAAGAAAAACCTAAGAATTAGATGATACGGGAAATAACATTAAATGAATTATAATAAACAATATTTGACTTTTTGTTCTTTTCTTTTTTTAATTTCTCTTTAGCTCTCACCTGAAGTTTAATAATCTCACCCTGATTTCAACTCATGGACTCCCAGGAAAAAAACTTTTGGGCAGTGAACAAAGGAAATTTCTAGCAAGCGAGTATGATTCTTCTTCCAAACTTCTTTTTAATTTGTGTGCAGTTGTTTTTTATGTTAAATAATAGATTCCAAAGTGGAAAGGGAAAAATGGAGGGTCTTTCTCCTGAAATTCAGGCATGACTTGGGAAATACAAATTAAACAGTTTGTGCATGAATGTGGTTACCATTTTGTATCTATGAGAAGAAAGCATCCCTGTTCCTACAATTAGAATGGAGCCTATGGGACCCAACAGCCTCCCCACTGGGTTCTGAAAGGCAGGACAGTGAAACTTTGGCCATGCTTGCACCCACAGGCACCGCCTTAGGGCGTGGGTTTCTCTCCCACCCTACCTTGCAATAGGCACCAAGAGCTAGTTGTCCAGGACTGCTCTCACCAGGCCAGAAAAGCTTTGCTGTTCTTATCACAGAACCACCATTTGACATCATCTGTTCTTGGAAATGCCATTTCATCATTACAGAGCTTCCACTAATTTCAATTTCTGGGAGCAAAACATGGGTATATAGATAATAGGCACACTGCTCTAAAAAGTCTCCCAGTGTTTTTCAAATGAAGACAAAGAAAAGGAAAGTGTTTCTTTTCCAGCTGGGGCGGGGGCATATCAGAATACTTGTTGAAGGGAACTTCTTTCTTCTTGAAGAGACTTGCTTTGCCTTCACTGGGAAAAATCATCCCTTCTTTGCCAATAGAACCAAGACCATTCTGAATTAGCACCTTTATCAGACTGTAGAATTTTGTTGGTGCTGTTTGTGGTGCTAAGAATGGACCAAGAGACCCCCACATGCTAGGCAAGTGCTCTATCAATAAGCCATCACCCCACCTTGTCAGACTACACACTTTAAAATGCAATAAAAATAAATAAATAAATAAATAAATAAATAAATAAATAACATTTTGGGAGGGTATCATTACAGAACAATAAAAAAGATATAGGATTTGAGTTTGAGAGATGCTGATCTAGCCTCTGGCCCCTACTACTAGGATCTGGGTAAGGGACTTCATTTCTCTTGGACTTTGATTTTCTTGATTGTGAAAAAGTATATGCTCAGTCAGGCTTGCTGGATTTTTTTGTTTATTTATTTGTTAAAATAAACACAACTCTAAGTCTTGACCAGGAACTGAGGATTGACTAATGGACATCTCTTCCCTTCACTTTTCTGTTTCCTAGATTACATTATTTTCAGGAAATGCTGGCTTTGTTGATGTCCTTTAAAAGGAATTTAAGTCAGTGAGCTTGGTGAAGTTTCTGCCGGTCTGTTGGGTGTGAGGTTGTGAGAACAGTGCTGTGGACTGTCTGAAGTTGTGACACACCCAGGCAGAGTAGCTGTGTGGTCGCCCAGTACTGTCCTCTACCCTTGTCTCTCTGCCTTCTCAACACAGTCACCAGAACAACGTACAAAAACACATGACTCAGATGACGTCAGACCTGCCTCCTAGAACTTCAGTGTCCTAGAAGTTTAGGCAGCTGGAGATAAAGTAGCTAAAGTTACGTGGTGCTATATCCTTTAAACTAATTTAAACTAAGTGAGATGAATATTTCAGCTCCGAAGTCACATTTGCCACATATTAGTGACTCAGACCATTAGCATGCTACCACAGCATAGTTGCTTTAGAGTGCTTTCATCACCACAGAAAGTTCTAGAATACTCTGAGGTTTATAAAATCTGCCCTTTTCCACTGACTTCCATTGCTAATTCTGCTCTTTTCTCTCCAGTCCATCCATACCAACAACCTTAATGTACTTCAGACACAACAGGCAAGTCCCTACCTAGGTGCCTTTGCTTTTCCTTTTCCTAGATGTTGCCTTTCACACGAAGTCTACCTCAACTACTCCATGTGTAACAAACACTCCAGTACACTCCAGTTCACATTACCCTGCTCCATTTTTTTTCTAGCTCCTGAAATCTTAGATAATAACGGAATTTTCCTTTTAAGCCTATGCTTATTACCTACGTTCCAAATCCTTCAACCATAATGTACAGTTCCCAAGGGCAGAAATTTTATCACGTAGAATAGAAATTACCTACAAAGAACATGCAGATGTTCTCTCCACTGAGGAAGAGACAGGCAGCAAACAACCAGATCCCCTTGAGTTGGTAACTTCATGTCATTACAGTGCTCAGGAAACAGACTGAATACCGAACAACCTCTGTCTTTCAAATAGTCTTCATATTTCAATAAAGGAAATTATCTCAGATCATGGAGTTCAATAATAACAAGTGCAAATTACATATGTAAATCTAATAATCAAAATTCCTCATTCTAAATACTAATTGTGAACTCATCCTTAACCAGTGTTTTGCTTCATTATTGTTATTTTTTAATAGCCATTTTTGTCTTCTCCCCCAACCCTGTCCAGCCTTTAGTGGAGGTGCTAACAATGTACCTGGGAGGCAGATGGAGGAAGGTGCGGGAAGGGAGAGACACAGGAAGCAGGAGAAACCCACTAATTGGACAATCAACCCTGAATAATTGAACGTTAATTGCAATGGTTCTTCCAAGTGTGTCACAGTTAATCTCCTATAAAAATCTCAAAGTTTCTTGCCAGGTCTAAAGGGTTCTGTTTCTGTGGGGTGCAGGTCTGCTCGGACTTACATTTGTTCCTGATGAGTAGCTTCTAATTATGCACCTGAGGATTTGGATTTGGGCTAAGTTTCTCACTACTAGGGTTTGGGCCCCTACTACCTTGATAAGTAAGGCCACATCTTGTATGTTTCTATACCTTGTGTATGCCTTCTTCAAGAAAGTTCCCCATCATGCTTTGGTTTGTTTGTTGAAGCAAGGCTTCACTATGAATCCCAGGCTGGCTTCCAGCCCTTAACTTCCTGTCTCCATGTCCTCAATGCTGGGACTGGAGCCCTGTGCCATCACTCCCAGGTGTGTCTCCAGATTTTTCTATGAGGATAACTTTCTTTTTTTTTTTCCTTCAGTGCTAGCTAGGGGAAAGTTAGGGCATTATGCATGCCAGATAAGCATCTACTATTTAGCTATATCTCCAGCCAGCTTTCACATAATTTTTGAGTCAGTGTCAAGATTTCTTGAAAAACATGAAATCTCACTGATGGACTTCTTTGCTTCCTTCTCTTTGAAGAAACCTGGTGATAGTCTGTCTCTTCTCACCAACTGTGAAATAGTCTCTGCTATGATTAAGTCTTGAGGCTTATAAACTGTGTTTAGGAAATAATTGAGCGGAAAATGTCATTTATAGTGTGCAGTAGAGAGCGTCACTCATCCGATGGAGAAATTAAAGAAGGTCCACATGGGTAGTAGTGTCCAACATGGAGAGCAATAATTCACACAGTGGTGCTTTGAACTGAGAAATGTAACAGACTGTAAAAGCATCAGCCTCACTCTTCAGTACTTTCTTTTGTGTCTCAGTAAAGGTTCTTTTAAAATGAATGTTCCCAAGTGTTACTTCCCACTGGACAAAGCTTCAGATTCTGACTCTGAAATATGCATCTGACATTGCCAATACTACTAACCCACTGTCATTAAAAAAGCATTGTCTTAGCTGCCCACAAATTTCCCCTGAGAGCTTTTATCTTTGGGCAAATCTTCATAAGACTAATCCCTGGGCACTAACTATATTTAATTTCTCCTCATCTTGGACGGGTTTCAGTAGGCACCAAAAAACAAATATGAATAATCCTTTGTGTGTCTCTTGTGACTGTGGATGCAGTGAAGTTTCCTGTATTCCTGTAAAGCTATCGAAATGTTTTTATACATGTAACATATAAAGAGAATTTCATCTCACTATCCATTATTTTCCTGTGACAGGCCAGCCCTGATTTTTCTTTTTTATTAAGAAATTTTCTTGTTTTTAAGTATTGTTTTTGTGGAGAGACACAAAGCTCAGTGCCCCCATCTCTTTCACAGTCCCCGTAACAGGGTCTAATGTGCATCCATTACAAGAATTCTCTTTGTGTGATCAGACCAGACTCATGTGTGGATCAAAAAGAAAAAAATGTCCCCCTATTACCACTTCAGAATCCTGTTTGCCTCCAAAGAGAGTAAACAGGATTATGTATCATTAACATTATTTAGAATAATACCCTTCACATATGCATCGCACTTGACAAAACAGCATCTCCTACATTCTCCTGTCCGTTCCTTACAATGGTGGAGGATGGGTTCATTATCCTGCACTGAGAGGTGAGGAGACAGGGTCCAGGGTCAAGGCTCATTGGCAAAAGCAGAAGGATGCAGATCTTGGCACAATTCTTTCCAGAAAAGATCATGCAGCTTAAATTAAAATGAATTTCTTATTGTTCTGTCACCACAGATTCTGGGTCTTCACACCAAGATCATTAAAATGTCACACTCCTATAATGTGAGTTTTCCATTCACTCCCTTTTCAAATTCTCCAACCTATACAAAGTCTTTCAATGTAATTATGTTATTTCTTAAAGAAAGCAATGCTAATAAAATGTTTAAACAAAAACAACAACAAAGAAAAAATGTCACTTATACAAGGTGAAAACTTTCAGCAAATATAGCATACCCTGTAGAAAACCTCTTTAAATAAACCCAAAGCCACAAGAAACCCACTTCTGTCACATTACAGTGGAATGCTCAAACTCAATAGAACTCCAAAACCTGAAAGCCCATGCAATCAGCAGGTCCCTGAAACCTCAGCTCTCACATCTACCCTGGGATGATATTCATGAAAGTTCTGGCTTCCCATAAATCACCTTTGACCTGTGCAGTGGGATTGCACTTAATTCCTTAACTGACATCTTTAAATAAAACAGGGTTTGTCGTTTTTAGCACAAAGCATGAGTCTTTTATTGAATGTCATTAAAAAAATAGAAGGAGTACTCTCCATTTTCAAGCTCTATGACTCCTGCTTTTGGGGGACCCCCCAAGATGCCACATTTCTTCTTTTTCATTCCTTTGCAGTTCGTGGCCAGTAGGACAATTCAACAGCCAGATTTACAACCACCACAAAGCCTAAGCAATTTCACACACACACATACTCACGCACCCTCCGTCTGTATCCCCTTGTGGACCTAAGCCAGGTGGAACAATTTAGCTTTAATGGGAAGATGTCAATTTGTGACTAAGTGTTTCATAAGTAAAAATCTCCACTCTTGGTCCTAGTAAACTCACAGCAAGAGCACAGACCTGGCTCGCTAGGGGACTTGAACCAGCTCACCAGATGTCTAATTAATGCCCACTGTCAGCTGCTCAAATGTCACTGATGGAGCCTCTCTCTTTGCAGTCTCTGTTTTAATGATAAAGATTATGCATTGATGTCACTGAACTCCTGGGTTAACGTTGTGGTTGGTAGAATGACTGGCATAGACCGAGCAGCCAAGCACGTCGTGCTTTCCAACAATAAAATCGTGTTCTACGACCACCTCATTCTCTGCACCGGGCAGCAGTACCAGGTAAGGCTGTGCACCAAGGGCGCCAGTGACCTGAGCGGAGATCCCCACAGTTAATAGGTTTACTGGGGCACATGCTCACTGAGTAAAGAGTATCCTCTCTTGCCCTGACAGCTGCCACTCTGTATTCACAAAAGTGCTCTCCAAGGCCCGCACACATGACCAGAATGGTGTCTACAAACCCTCCCAGAAATCCATTCCAAGAAAACATTCTGCTCAAGGATAAAAATCACAGCTAGTTGGAGAAATGTCATTCCTGAAGCTGTTGTCCCAAAGTCTAACACTTATGGCTCACCATAGCAGACTCCAGACCCAACCAGGCATGCATCTGTGGTAAATTAATTTATGCCTCTAGAGGCTAACATTTGGCTAGGGCAATGCGCTCCCACAAAAGTATTTCAAACATGTGCACCTTCTGTCAACCCTTATTTTATTTTGTCTCTCAGTTATAAAACTAGGAAATTGGATTGAGTAGTTTCCCAGTGACTGGGCTTTCTGTCTGAGCTCTTCAGCCACATTTGACTGAAGCATTGCAGGATGCAACTAAAGCTGTTCCCTGTCTGAGGGCAGCAGATCTTGGGTCTCCCACATTGCAGTAACAGTATTCTTTTGTGTGGTGCACAGAAATAAGGCATTTCTCCAGCAAGAGAAGACTGACATTCTAACTCAAGGATGGGGTCTGAGATCATTTCATGCAGGGCTGTGGATTTGGCAAGGGAGTGTGTGTAATTCCTTTGCATTTCTAAGCCAGGGAAGAGGCAGCGCACAGACAGGTTGTCAGCCTCGCCTGTGTCCACATGTGCTGAGCAGCTTCGGCAGCACTTAATTGATGTCCTCAGCTTTGGCTGCACATTGAGATCTCCTGGGGCTCTTTGAAAACACACCTATGCCTGTGTCCCCAAGAATTGCTCTCATTATTCTAGGAGGGGCCAGTCATCCGTATTTTTATTACACTCCCCAGACGATTCTAAATTGAGGTGGAGACCCACAAGCTCCAACTTGTTCGACATTGAATCCCTTATCTACACACAGAACTCTTGAGCATCCTTTAAAATGCAGCCTCTGAGCAGGGAGCCTCATGGCGAGGGAGCAGGAGCCTGAGATAAGAGTTTCTAGCAAGCTCCCCGGTAAGGCCAATGCTGCTTCTAAATGACTGCGCTTTCAGTGACTCGGATAAGTCTCTAAACAATTGCCTTTCTTTTCATTCTTTTTTTAAAGAAGCCTCATTTTCAAAGAATAGAAAAAGGTTTTTTTTTAAACTGGAGAGATACCCTATTTGCTATTTAAGAATTCCTTCTACTTTTAAAAGCATCAAACTAGAAGGCAACACCATGCACCCCTTTAGCCTGTCTCCCCTCACCTGCCCTCTGGGTTCCAGCCACTGCCTGAAATGGCACACTTTGGAAACTGAGCAGAAGACCCAGCCAGCTGCCCAGAGACTCCGGCATCTGCCCATGTGTGTCCAGCTGCCCTGCAGCTTTACTCGGCAGCACATTAAGCTCTTGCCCTTTCTACAACAGGAAAAATGAAATGAAGAAGTGATAAAGGGAGTTCCAATTTAATTTTTCCAGAAGGACATAAAAATCAAAGGTACATAGAATGGTAGAGAAAGGGCAGCTGAATTCACCGGGGACCTTCTGGTTCCTGTTTCTTTTCCTATGTCTTTCATTCCAACTCTCTCATGGTTTTGTCCCAAGTTTGTAAACCAAATTAAAATAATGACAGTAGAGCTTTAACCCAAAGCAAGAAGACAACCTTTCATAAAATATAATTACGACCCTTAGCTTCTAGTCAGCACTACTTGTTCTAACATACTCTGCAATATTTGGGATATCCAAATGTATATCACCTAAGTTGTTAATCAGAAAATCTGTGCACAAAATAAAACCTTGAACTCTAGTGTAGGACTGAGAGTGAGGAGGGCTGTTCTCCTGCCCAGCTAGTACTTCCAAGCCCTCACTTCTGAGGCATCAGGTTTGAAGTGTTTCTACTTCTCTCTAGTGGTGGCCACCATAGTTCCAAATAGTATGTTTATGGAATTTTGGCCTTTATCTGCCAACTTCAGGCATTATCTGTGACCTTTCCTTTATAGAAGATGATTTAGCTAACTCCTCTTTAACATACTCTAACTCCCTTGCCTACCCTTTCCATCACTTTTTATTATTTTTATTGGTGAACACATGCCAGCTTTGAAAACCACTTTGAGGTAGCTTCCAAGTGAGATCACAGAGCCATGAAACTTACAGACAGTTTTAGAAAGATGGGGAGATGCTTTCCCATACCAAGATATGGGTAATCTGATGAAAGAGGAAGAACAAACTTTGTCAAGTTAAAGACAAATGAATTTAGAACTGGCAGAGGCGCCTAGAAGCAGTAGATGAGTAACTACCTCCAACCAAGTGAGAGGCAAAGACTCAGGGACTTTCTTTTCTAGTAAGCTTGGTGTGGGTCAGCAATGGGATGTGGTCTCCAGAAGACTCACACCATTCAGACAAGGTAAGCAAAACTGGACAACCCAAGGCTAGAGTCTGCTACAAACAGGTTGGGAAGGAGGAGTGTGTATACCAACGTGCCTCCCAGGTAGAGACATAAGAGGGGTGCTCCTGTGTCAAAAGTGAACTCATAATGGGATGCCAAAAGGAAAAAGTAACAGTGTAAGTCCCAAGAAAGGGATTGCTGGAAGTACAGCTGCAAATTCCTGATGCTTCTCATATCTGAGACCAGGAGTCTGTGGCTCCTCTCCAGACAGGCTTGTGACAGTTAAGATTACTAACAGAGCACTCTCCTTACCCAAGGAAAAAAATTGTCCAATTGATTGATTCTGAGCAAAATGAGGACTTTTTTTTTTCCAGTTAGTTACATTCTGGCAAATGTCAAAGAATGAGACATTTCTCGTTGTCTCATGAGAAGGATGGGGGGAAAATGAATGAATTTCAAAAGAAAAATAGCAAATTGTCAAATGCTCTACTGAAGCATAAAAACTTTCCTTTCTGGCATTAAGTGTCCAAAAAAAAGTGGAACTAACTACATAGAATTTTGGAGAAAATGTGATAATTTAATAATTACATGTCCACCTTAGTCTCTTGGAAGAAAGCAAAAACTGTTCTTTATGTGCAAGGCCTCAGGAAAATTATCTCTCATGTTTTTTACTTTAATGTGTATTCCAAATAACTGTCAGAGACTGTAGAGTTTCTCAATCGTCAGAGGACAGATGATAGTCACCATGATAGATTTCAAAAAATAATGTAAATAATTTTTTAAATGTGACTGTACCTACGAAATAGAATAATAACCCTCAATTTAAACTAGTCTAATGAAGACCAGGAAATTGCTGAAAATAGGAAGAGAGGTGGTAAAGAGGAGTGAGCACTGCCCACAAATGCAGAATTCCAAAGGGAATAGTCCAGTGTTGACTCATTTATGTTCAGAGGAACTGAGGCTAAAGAATGCTGTGAAACAAGGTAATGAAATGCATCTACCAAAGTGTGGACAAGATAAAAGGGTAGAAAAGAAAGGCAAAGGGTCAGCGCTTAGAAGTAAATGAGTGTGACAGAGGAGAAAAATGTAAGTTACCCAGTGAGTGTCATGGTTTTAAAGTACCCTGTTGTAAGACCAAGGCAGTTTTTACACTAAACTCAAAATATAAGAAAAGCATCCAACCAAAAGAATAGTTAGAAGTGCACAGCAAAGGGGCTGACAAGATGATTCAGTGGATAAGAGCATTTGCCACCAAGCCTGACAACCTGAGTTTGATCCCTGGAACACACATGATGGAAGTAGAGAACCAAGTCCTGCAAGTTGTCCTCTGATCTCCACATGTACACCATGACATGTGTCTCCCCCTGAAACCCACCCCCCCCAAAAAAAAAACAAATGTAAAGAGGGTGGAGAGATGGCTCAGTGGTTCAGAAAACCTGAGTTTGGTTACCAGCATCCATGTTGGGAAACTCACAATCATATGCAACTCTAACTCCTTGGTATCAAGGCCTCTGGCCTCTGTGGACACTGTGTTCACGTGCACATACTCACACTCATACAGATACTTTAAAAAATAATCTTTAAAAAAATTAAAGAAAAAGTGCACAGTGACGGTATGTGAAACAAATTCACAAAAGCCGTGCTATTAATACCTAACAGAGGAAAACTGGAAAAAGAAGAGGGCTAGCACTGACAATAGGTGACATTCATGGTGCCAGTATAGACAGAGGTCATGGACCCCTTCCCTGCTGAACATCATTTGATCAAAGGATGCCTCATGGAACTGGAAAGTCTATATGCCTAGATGTTCTATTCATTTCTTAGAATCATGCTTGAAAAAGGAAAGAATAAACCAAGTCCATCCAGACATTCAAAGGCACTCAGATGTTCACCATGGGATGAAGACACAGGGTGGAAAAGATGGTCAGCTGGTCCTCAAACTCTTGTGGGGTTTTTATATAGATAACAAATTAGGTTTGTATCACCTGGTCCAAATTTAGGATACTTGCCTATAGAAGATTAGACACAGTGCTTTCTCATAGTCTGAAAGTTTACTTCCAAAAGGAATGGTCAAACCCAGGAGACAGAAGCATAGTGATAGCGGGAATCTCATCAGATTGATAACAGTCCCTTAGAGCTATTGAGTGCTTTTGATAAGACAATCACGGTAGCTGATACAACCATCACAGTCTAAGGTTGGTGTCATCTTCCCCATTTTACAGACAAGGCAACTGGGGTAAAGTGAAGCAGGTAATTCATCCAAGGACCATGCCTGCTGCCAGTGATCTTTTACCTATCATGGTCGTAGAACTCTTCCTGCCTCACAGCTTGGGTCTTCTATGAGTCTGCATGAGGCTGGTGCAGATCTCCACCAGGGGCCCCGAGTTGCCTTTATTTCTTGCTCTTCCACATTGTTTCTACCTGGCAGCCAAAGTGAAGGACCAGAAAAGTAAGCTGCTGGGCAAACTCTGGCATCAGTGCCATTTTATTTGGTTTTAACAACAGTGTTTGTTTGGTTTTAATTTGAACCAAAATAATAAAAAGTCAAGAGTCTACATGCAAACCCAAGGCTCTGACATTTCTTGAGAAATCAGATCTGGCTATACTGAGCCTATGTTCTTCCCTGGCAAAGGCTGGGGACCAGATGTCTAGTTGCCAGGGCATCTTCAACATGGAGGGCAGGTGCTGGCCAGTATTCTTTATTGTGATTTCACTGGTGCTTTCCTTATAGCAGAGGAAAATTTCTGTTCCTATTCATGTCTGTGTCAAAAGTGAAAGAACAGAAGTTATACAAGGAAGGCTCTGTGTTGGGGGCAGGGAGACATAGGAAGCATGGAAGGGAGAATTATTTTCCTGAAAAGTGAATAATGAGCATATAATGTTTCAAGAGTAAACAGTTATCTGCTTCCTTTGCTGTTTTCTGCCTGGCCCCTCTGCACACTTAGACTTCGGTACCTGATATAATTGCTCCCATGGAAGATTGCTTTAACTAAATATGGCAACATCAACTCCAGTTCTAGAGTCTCTGAGTCCTCTTCTAGGCATTTTATCCCCTGATTTTGGGCAGGCCCCTATAACTATCTCCGTGAATAACAAAATCTTGTGTGGGGACACTTCTGAAGTTCTAAGACTGCTCAAGAGAAGAGCATGTGACTCCTTTTTCAAGACCTTTTCCCTTGGAAACCAACCACCATGATGTGAAAAGCTCAAGCCACAAATGGCTATTCTGGGCCACAAGTATCATGAGTTTTTGGACAGTTGACAGTAACTTGTTAGTTTTGGGTATTCAGCATGTTTTTTGGAGGAAAGAGAAAGGACTGGACTAATACTTAAGTCTAGATGAGTCTACCCTGGGGCCGTCAAGTCACCCTCAGCCTTTAAGTCTTCCCAGCTGAGGCAGACCCCGGACATTGTAGAACAGAGATAAGCTGTCTGTTGACAGCTAGTCTGAATCACCAACCTACAAAATCTGAGAGCTTAACAAATGGCTGTTTTCTACCACTAAGTTTAGGAATAATTTATTACACAGCATTAGATAACTAGAGCAATTCCTTCTGAGGATTGTCTCAATTCATTCCATCTGTGTGTTACTTATTTCTTCCCCTTTCAATTAAACCCTGATTAATTATATCTGGGGACAGAAAAGGCCAAGCCACCATATGGAACATAACCATGAATACTTTATTTTCTTCCAACTGTGCCAGGCCTTCACCTGTCACCACCAAAATGAACATTTCTCTGTATTATACCTCAGGTTCCATGCCCAACAGGAGCTGATATTAGTCAACATCTGACCAATAGAGAGGTTCTGAAGTTCAGTAAGCTGCGATACACTGGGCAAGTTCCCTGCAACCTTTTCATTCTCAATGATGAGGAAGATTGCTTTAAGGCCCTGACTTGGATGAAGAGCAACTCCATCTTCACAGAAGGTAAGGATGTTGTAACTGTGCATCTTTTCAGAATAGCGTTTTATTTTTATAATGAGTCTCATTCTTCGTCTAGTTCCAGTATATAATTAGTGCCTAATTAATTCCAACCAAATCATTCATCTGTCATGCTTTGTTTTCCAGATTAATTTACAACTTGTTGTCATTTTTGGATACCCAGCATGTTTGCTCAGGGAAAGAAAAAGGCTTGAGATAGTTTAATTATCTATAATTATTTTATTACACAAAATGAATATCCGAAGAGCAAAGCATGGCTAAAATCATTAACTAATTAAAGAATAATTTAATAAGCAAACATGTTTAGCAATTATATGGAAAATATGTCTCCTTTGTGAAGCTGAAAAGACCGAGGAAGGAAAAGAGAGGCCCTGTTGGAAAGGCTCTTTTCTTCTCTTCACAATCCATTGTTCCCTTTCTTGCTGCTGCCTGTATAGTCCTTCCCACAAACACACATATTCAAGCTGCAGACCACTTTTTGAATCCAAATGAGAAAGTAAAACATTTGTACAAATGCCTGCACCACTCAAAAGCATTTCTCAAGCATCTTCCTCACCATTGTTTGGGTTTCACTGAAATTATTTGACTCCTGAAACAACTAGAACAGGGCCTGATTGCCTGTGTGTCTTCAGTTGAAACATGGGACCCAAGGATTGGAGATAACATGCCTTTGACTCTTTATCTTGCCTAAGGCCAAGGCTGAGTTCCACAACCTCCTAGGGGAAAGCTGAGATTCTCATCCTCATCTGCAGTTCAGGCCAAGGACGGAAAGACTTCTAAGGGCCCTGAAAGTGGGCATCAAATTGTATAGTTAAATATCTCCATCTATTAAATATAGTTCCATTCAATTTATTAATGTAATTAACACACTATAATTAAATACAATTGTCTTCTGATTTTCATTGGATAATTTAGGTCTTTCAAAACTTCTTCTTGTTAGTATATTTACTGCATTAAATAGTTAAAAATGGGTATTATATAGTATTCATTCCATTGCTGGACTCCATTTGCCAATATGATGTATATATGGGCTGTTTATCTCTAAATTTGTGAGAGTGGCCTGTAATTTTCTTCTTCATGCCTTATCAGGTTCTTGTTAGTATTCAGGAGAATACCAGCCTCATAAAGCACTTTGGCACTTTCCATATTTTCAGGGGGGCTGAAATACAAAGTAACCTAAATATTGGACAAGAATCACCAATAAACCCAACTGAGTCTGGAACCCTTGGCAGAGATTGGAAGATAGGAGATTTTACAATTATATATATATATGGAGCAAGAGAGCAAGATATCAGCAACCCAGAAGCAAAACTTGTCATAAAGTATTTTCATATTTGTATTCTACATATGTTTAAACCCATTTCAACACTTTATTCTTTTTTTAATAACTTCTCCTGACCTATGTACGCATCAAGAATTCCAAGAGCTTATCCCATTTAGAAGACTTAGCAAATTTTTATTATAATGTATCAGATGGTAAATATTTTAGTCTTTGCAGGCCAATCTTTTTTAAAAGATTTATTTATTTTTATGTGTATGAGTGTTTTGCCTGCATGCTTGTAAGTGCACCATATGCATGTAGTGACCACAGAGGCCAGAAGAGGGCATCAGATCCCCTGGAACTGGAATACAGTTAATTGTCATGTGGGTACTGGGAACTGAGCCCCAGTCCTTTGGAGAGCAGCCAGTGCTTTTAACCACCAAGCCATCTCTCCAGCCCCAGGTCATATGGTCTTTACTGCAACTATTCATCTCTAAGACTCAACAAGAAAGCAGCTACAGAAATGCCTGGGCATGACTGTATGCCAATAAACTTTACACAATTTATAAACCCAGGTGATAATCCGTGTTTGCTGAGGCCTCTTTAATCTTTATAACTTGTGACAAATTGCCTCAATTACCAGATTTAAGAAAAAACTCCCTGAAAACAGAAATGTCAGTGGTTCAATACAAAACACACAGTATGTCCTAGGATGGCAGTCAGTCATATTTTCAGTGTTTTAATCTTGGACATTGAGTTTTTGGGTATTAGGATTAAGGAGAGCAGCAACGCAAGCTCTTAAGCTTGAATGTCTGGTCTCCTTGAAGTGTCTTCTCATTTGTCCTCTGGTTCTCAGATGGGGAGCGGGGACCTGCCATTCTGTGAGCTTGACTAGCCATCGGAGACAGTCATGCTCTGGTCTTCACTTAAAGATTTCAGTCTTAAGATTTAAGATTGTCTGCCACCACATGAAGCTACTCCAAGAGCCTGTTCCTGTCCTCTCAATAGCCATGATAAGGAGTGTGTTGAAACTAATGCCTTGTCTTAAATGTGGGCTATTTTCCCCAGGTCATCTGTTTGATGGCTCCCTTGGGCCTCCCCCAGGTAGGTGTTCTTAGCACTCAGATGCTGAGACCAGGCCTGGAGAGCCATCTGAGAAACCCTGTCCAGCCCACTTAAATTAGCTCTGCAGAGAGGCCTTTTCAAGTGACTTCTCATGTGTGGAAAGTTAGGAAGAAAAGCATTACTTCCTGCTTAAAGAAAACTCTTTGTAGCTTTTCTATAATTCGAGTCATATTCAGGCATGATTTTAATTAGGCCCATTCAGATCTTCTTCTTGCAGTTATTTTCCTGTCCTTTCCTTCAGGGTCCAACATTCCTCCTGAGCCCGTACACTCTCACTGAACAATACAGTAACCCTGGAGCACAGTCCAAGTCCCAGGACAGGTGAGACTAAGACAGTCAGTCACCAAGTTGGCTACAGAAAGCCCACCCACATGTGAGAGCCAAGAGCCAACAACAGACAGAGCTATCTCTGTGGGAATCCCCAGAGGCATGGAACATAGAGCAGAACCAGCTTCAGAAAAAGACTCCACTCAGAACTCCCTAAACTTGTCTTTTGACAAGTGGCAGTATGTTAAGCAGGGGAGACTCGAGTGAAAATGTGTTCTTGCCACATTATGTGGGTCACCTAGATGACCTCTTGTCTCCTAACTGGGGCTTTGGGTGATGATGAATCTCATCCCTGGACTTTGAAAGCCCTTCTAACACTGTCAAAAGACTAGTAACCTTTCCAGACCTTCACATTAGATGGAAAATAGCTGTTATGGTAGCAATGCTGTTGAGACTTGGAGAGTGCCATTACATACTTTGCTGAAGTGCCAAGCCATTCCTTTGATATATGTAGTTATAATTTATCTCAGTATCATGTGTGTTGACTCAGTGCCTGGTATACAGTAGATGCTTAATGAAGGCTTTAGTGACTACAAGTGAAAATAACAATGTTTTTGGTTTTGGTTTTCTTTTTTGAAATAGGGCCTTGCTATATAGCCCAAGCTATCCTTGAACTGCTGATCTGCCTGCCTCAGTCTCCTAAGTTCTGGGATTATAGGTGTGTAGCATCATGACCAGTTCTTATGCTAAATCTTATCAAAATATTTTAGACTCAGCTTTGCCTGGAAATTGATGGCCAATCATGATGAGGGATATGAGAACCCTTGGCTCAGGTTGTTGGCACTCTTAAAGATCCCCTTGTTTTCAATGTAAGGACGCACATTGGCTGAACAGGCTGAGGACAGGTCCTCACCCTAAAGAACACCTTTGTCATGGTGAACCATCTCAGGTTCTGGGGTTGATGGCTACAGTTCCGTTTTGGAGCCTGCCATTTTCTTCAGCAAGTTATTGAACCCCTTTGCATGTTTGACTCTGGATAGTGTCTTCTGTACATGGGTTGCTGGGAGGATTTGACAAGACAAACGAGACACTCCATCTTTAAGACAGTGTCTCAGCCACAAAAAGAATTCAGTAAATACAAGGTATTCTCATTGTTACAACAGCCCCCTTGTTCCATTTAATTTTTCAAGGTTTCAGTTACTGATTGTCAACTGAAAATATTAAATGGAAATATGTAAAGAGTCTGCAAATATTAAGTGGAAAATTCCAGAAGGTATAAATCTACAAGTTTTGAATTATGTACTGTTGTGAATAGCACAAGGAAATCTTGTGTTGTTTTGCCCCTTTTGTTTATGCACACAACCCACCTGTTCATCATGTAGTAGCTTTCCTGGCTATCACATTCTCTGTTGTGCATTGCAGTGCCTATTAAGTATTTTGCTTATTTATTAAGTATTTTACTTAGTAGCCTCAAAATGCAAGAGTAGTGATGTTGGCAGTTCAGTTTTGCCAAAGAAAAGTTGTAAAGTGCTTCCTTTAAGTAAACCTGTAGAAGTTTGTTACAGTTATATATGCTTAGGGAAAAAACAGCATCAGGTACTATGTATGGTTTCTGACATCTAGTGTGGGTCTTGGAATGCATTCCCTGTGGATAAGAGGTTTACCGTGCTATTACTTCCTGGGATGGAGATAACTGCTGCCTGCAGAAGCTTCCCCATAGTGTGGGTCTCAGCTCCTGTTGTGCTGGTGATAGAGAAGTTGGGAGCATCTGTTTTGACACAAAAGTTGGAAATCTATACACATTGGGTGCCAATTGTTTGTGTAGAGGCAACGTGGTCTTCATGAGAGCCCAGGAGGTCATGACAGTTGGAGAAGGCATCCCCCTTGAAAGAAAGAATTGACCTCTATTTTAGCCAGGATAGGATAAACAAGCAGAGAGAGAGAGGTTGGAGAGCTCAATTGTCTTCAAAAGACAATGGGCCCACACTTGGGCTGGCATCCAGTCTGTGAAGGACAGCGGTGGGAGATGAAGGCAGGGAGCAGGTGGAAGATGGACACTGTAGAGGACCTCCAGTGTCCATCCAAGGCCAAGTTTAACTTTTGAGGAAATAAGTACTCCATGAAGGGAGATGGCCAAGGGGCAGTTGTAAAGGTGGTGCTGTACAAGGTGGCCTTTTAATCTGTACCCCATGGCAGTAGAGAGAAAAGATCTGAAAGAGCAGGTTACAGAGGTAGCAACAACCAGTTGGGGATGCCAGAAGTGGTCACCCTTACAACACTTAGTGATCCTGTCAGCATGGCCACTTCTAGCTTATATTAAAGTTAGTTATGG